AGCTATGTGATAGGTAAATACCCATCAATTTCTTCCTTAATCTGTCCAACCTCCTAGACTATATGTTTAGAGTATTTTCCTATAACAATACCTAATAGTTATGTATAGTACACACTAGCTCTTGGAATTGATTGCTAACCAATACTTTGAACCTGTATAGGTTTCTGGTGCTTCTTCACAAGGATTTCGGACTTACGAACGAACTCATCACGAAGTATAAGACCTGTTGCCTTACAATCTAATAATAATTTGTAGGATATTTCCGGCTCTTGGATTGTTAGGATAGCTTCGATTAGAAGCCTTTCTCTATAAATCGGGAGGTCTTTAGATATTTGTTGGTGAGTTTACGTTATCTTGACTACAATACTTCCTTTTCAAGAAAGTACAAGGTATCTGCTTGGTCAAGTACGATTAATGAGGTTTTCTATTGGTTTGTTATAGTAATTGAGAATTATGCTGTACGTTCTAGATGTTTTGGCTACTAAAGCCATCTTCAGTAGTACTTGCTTTAGAGAGAGAAATGAATATATTAATTAAACCTTAAGTACAATAAGAAATCCTCTGAGTCCTAATTGACTCCTTTCTAATTATCTTAACAAATAATAATCCTCATTACTATCTTCCACCAATTCAATAATCCTTCCTCTATGCTTATCTACCATTCTATTTACTACCGAGATCTTAATATCTCTTTTGTCATTCTTTTTATCTGCCTTCCCTCCCTTGGCCTAGGATTTCTTATTTATATTAACAACTTTAGAGGTAACTAGATCCTTTATCTAGTACTCGAACCACTTATAGTTTCCTTTACTATACTTTAGACAAGAGTTGAACTTCTTCCACTTTTTAATGACATTATTAGGGATACCTACCAATTCTAATTCCTAGTTATTAAAATCTCCTCTCTGATTCCTCTTTCTCTTTTTCCTATTTCCTTTAGTCCCTTCACTATCCTTTCAACCCTTTGCCTTTTCTTTCTTTCCACCTGTCTCGTCTTCCTAGGACTTGCCTTAGAGATAGTAGAAATTCTCTAAATTATAGTTAATGTCCCACATTATTGCCATTTGTTCACTAAGGAGTTAAGGTTTATTTGGCATTTGAGCCTATGCTAATCCAACTTCCTTGTTCAGTCCCCGTACTAGCTTGTCCTTAGCCACCTCTTCTGGGTACCCAATTCTCTATATAAGATTCATGAGGGTATCTAAATACTCATCAATAGAGCTACTATATTAGAGGTTTAGTTAGTTAGTTACTACTTGTTCCTTACCCAATTTCATCCTAAAAAAACTTTGGAAAGCCTCTATAAAGATTTCCTACCTTACCTAACTAGAATCCAGTACTATTCGAAGGCTACCCGGTAGTCTTCGTACTGCTGCCAGATCAATTTTAGGGTAATAGACTTTATACTACTGTACTAGATCTCGATGCTTAGTACTAGTCAGTTGTTGTAGGAGATTAGCAGTATATCGGATCTTGACTAAGTCATCCTAATATTTTTTCTTCTTAATTACCCATATATTCTCGAGTTTCCAGATGAATCTTTTAAGGTCTTCCAGATCTCCTTTAAATATTTTGGGCTTAGGAGCTTCCGGTTTTAGTTCTTTTAATTTAGATACCACTTTGATAAGTATTTCCAGAAGTTCTTATGTCGCTTGTACCACAGTGATTTTCTTCTTCTTCTTTGGGGTCAGTATAAGTTCATCCTCTTCACTAGAGGGGTCACTATCTCCATCTTCAGTAGTTGTCTTACCTTTTCTTTTTAGTAGTAGTAGTGATGGTATTCTGCTAAAGCTAGTTTCTCTAGGCCTACTAGAGCTTAAAGTGAATCCTGCTTGACTTCTGGGTAGAGGAGGAGGTAGAGTACTCCCTCTACATTTCTATTGTTATCGATCGAATGTATCATCTGAGTCCTCATGTTTTTCTATTGTTTTCCCATCCTTGATCTCTTGTTCTAGTATTTTGTCTAGGTATAAGAGTTCTTTTACAGGTGGGTCCCATTACCAGTCTATATTATCAGGTTCTATTAGTGTTACATAAGTCTTTAGGGCTTGTTTTAGGGAATATTTCATCTCAAATATAGTTTATACTATATATTGAGTCGCTATCTGAAAATAGTAAAACTGGACCTTATTTTCCTTTTCTAGCTAATGCGCTTAAGCTTGGACTATTTCCAACTGCTTATTTAAGAATGCCTTTATGCTAATTTGGAACCATATCTAGAACTTATCTATGTTTATAGGTTTTTCTTCTAGTATATCAATATTTTTACCTAGAATCTTTTTAGCAAGCTTATGAGGTCACTGAATAATAAATATTTTGATATTGTCTAGGATAGTAATGGGTACTTTCTGCCATTCAATTCAGAGAAAGGCAGATATTCTGAATAAAGATATTAAGTAGTAGCAGTACTTAAGATTATAGTATAATGAGGCTGCTCAGTTACAGCTGTAGAATAAAGTAACAAGATTTATATTATAAGTATAAAATAATATTAAGTGATTGCTTACTACTATCCTATATGATGTCCATGAAGATAGAATTCCATCTCCAGCAGGTATGGTTAAATACCTATTTCAGAATACTAGAGTCTCCTTTAAAAAGCTTTCTGTAGATATGGGTGCCAAGTCAATTCCCTCGATTATTGACCAACCGACTACATTGTAGCCGGTTACCCTCACTCACTCTGGCCACTTATGACCTAGCTATCTTATCTCATACTCGATAGTATATATAGCCTTTCGATCCAAGGAGATCCTTTGCTACCTCCAGTATATTATCTAGTCTCTAGCTAATATCATTATATTACTTATTATTAGATAACTCTGATAACACTTCCCTCTTTAGTATAGTATACTATCAGTACTTAGGGAGCTACCCCACTAGCCCATAGTTTCCTATTCTAAAGGGTATTCTAGGTATATATCAATACCCATAACATTAACTATCTTAACTTATATTTAATAGTACTTATTATCTTCTAATCTAAGAAAGTCTTTATTTTTATTCTATTATCTAGCCTTTATATAATATTATTATACTCTCTATCTAGATAACTTAGATAGTATTTCTTTTTTTAGTATAATAGACTTATTAGTATATAGAATTCTACTTTACTACTTTATAATTTTTTATACTAAAATATATTCTAGATATTTTACTATTTCTATAATAGTAATATTATCTTATAATAGAAATATTATCTTATAATAATAGTATTACCTCTATAATAGTCTATAATAATAATATTATTCTATAATAATAAGTACTATATTTATAATAATTTATCTTAATAATTATAAATTAACTTATATTTACTATAAAAAATTTAAACTTTTATAAATTATTTATTAGCTTAATTGAATTAATAAATAATTATTTTTATAGTTTAAATATTTCTAAAACTACTTAATTTTGTCTTAATTTTTTTAATTTTATTTTAAAAAATAAATTTAAATTTTTTTTAAGTTTACTTTTTATATTTATTTATTTAATATATATAAAAGAACTAATAAAATTTAATTTATATTTAAATATATATATTTATATATAATATATTAATTAAGAATTTCTTTTAAAACTTAACAAATTTAAATAACTAATTATTAATAAAACTAATTTAAATAATTTTTAAGAAATTCTAATATATTTATATAAATATTAAAAAAAAAGTTTATATATTATAAACTATTATAGATTTATATTTAATAAAAATAAATTATATAAATAATTCTAAATTAGTATATATAAAACTAAAATAAAATAGAAAAAATTAAACTAATTTAAATATAATTAAAAAATACTTAAACTATATTATATAAATAAGTTTATATTAGTTCAGTTAAACTTATAGTAGTTAATAAAAGTTTAAATTTATTATAATAAATATGAATTAACTATTTTAAAATTATTAAATTAATTATATAAATATTTATTTTTAATTAATTTTTTTTTCTATTTTAAATAGTTTAGAAAATTTTAACTAGAAATATATAAATTAAATAAGCTTTATATATATTAAAATAAGTTTTATATAGTATAAACAAATTTAAAATAAAGTAGTTAAATTTATATTAGTTTAAAATAGTTTATATTAACTTATAAATTAATTTATAAATATATATTAAATTTGTATTAAACTATTTTAACCTTTTCTAATATTTTAAAACTATTATCTATATTAAAAGACTTTAATAAACTTTAAAATATCTAAAATAAAGCTTTATATAAATATATTAATCAAATATAACTAGTATAGTAAATTAGTAGTAAGTCTATTTTATATTATATTATATTTAATACTATTTAATAATTTATTTTAAACTTTTAATTATATATTTTTTATATATTTTTAGTATATACTAATATATCTTAATATCTTTAAAATTATAATATATTTTATTAAATATAATTTTATTTATTTACTTTAAATTATTTTATTAAAAATAGAGTAATAATAATATTATAAAAACTTATATATTACTTAATAATAATATATAATTTTATAATATACTATATATATATATTTTAAAGTATCTTTCTACTTTTTTAACTATTTTAATACTATTTTTCTAATTTTACTTATTTATTAATAATAATAGTAATATATATACTAATTTAAGAATTATTAAAATAATACTTACTTAAAATAATATAAGTAGTAATCTTAATTATCTATTAGGTTTTTCTTTAAAATTATTATTATTTCTTAAATCTATAAAATAGTATTTATAAAGTCTTTAGCAAGAATTTTTTAATAAGTTACTAAAGTATGTAGTATTATATTATGATAATACTTATCTATAGTAACCTAATAATGATTACAATCTTATTACTTTCTAAAACACTACTAGTAGCCTATAAGATTGATATAGCCTACTTATGTATTAGCTTAGTCATTATTAACTTTAATAGCACCTTTATTATCCAAATATGTATATTAAAACCTCGTGCACTCTAAGTGCACTTTATATAATTATTATAAAAAGCATATATTCATATTATCTTTGGTAGTATAGTGGTAAGTATTCCTGCCTGTCAATTGATTGAGCGCGGGCGACTGGGGTTCAATTCCCCGCCAAAGAGTTTCTTGCTCCTCAGCAAAGCCGAGCTCTTTAGACATAGTTTGTCTGAATTAGCATCAGTCTGGGTGCACTCGCCTCTCGTAGGGAAATTAGCATCGAGGTCATACAACCTAGTCTGGTTGCACTACCCCTCGTAGATGGTCTAGGAGAAGCCTTTCCTTAGTGCCCGCCAGACTAGCCTTTCCTCAATTAGGGCCCGATCATGTATTTGTCATGTACAGCAAATAAATCGGTCTCGGCACGAGAATAGTCAGGTTAGCACGAGAATAGTCTGGTTGGCACAACACCCTCCGGTGGTAAAGGGTTAGGTGCAACCTGACTAGTAAAGTCATAAATTCGGCCAAGGCCCTACATAATTTCAGAAATCTGAACAAATTTGTCTGGGCACGAGAACAGACAGTCTGCAGCTTAACACTCCTCACATTCTGGAAGGCAGACTATTCTGGAAGGTGAATGCTAATTTCAACTCAGGGGATAGTCTTATATGCCAAGACACCTCTTGGACCGAGCGCAGCGAAATCCTGGTTCAAATGAATTTTTTAGTCAGCTAATTTGAGTCTAAGTAAAGCCTACTATATCTTTTGCGGTCGCAGGTCGAAGTAGTTACTTACCTCCTCTCTACGAGCGGCTTGTGCCAACCAGACTAGTTACTTACCCCTCTGCGATAGCTTCATAACCAGTCTTGGTTTACTTGGAGTTACTTGGCGTTGTCACGTGTATACTAGCCTCTACCTACATTATTAGTAAACAAGCATGAAGACAGTTCCTCGTCTACACTACATACAGTGCCTGGGGGAAAGTTATAACGCACCCCCATGCATAATATGCAGTGGCAGTGCGTGCGCCCGCTATTTCTGGCCAGACATACAGTAGTGTGATCGATGCATAAAAAGGGGTGCGTTATAACTTTCCCCAAGGCATTGTATTTACTAGTCTGGTTGGTACAACGACCTCTGAAGAGTTGTGCCAACCAGACTATGAAGTATTTAAGTACTAGTGAATCGCTAAACTTCGTCGAGATAGCGCCAAGAATCTATCTAGCTCAAACTGATTGCTTAGTCACTGATACCATTTCAGTCCTGGTGTCTTACGAGCCTGAGTTCACTCTGAATATGAAGGTGAAATTACAGAAGTAGCAAATGCCTCGCCCAAATAGGCTATAACTGCGGTCAACTTGTTTGCTTGTTTGCTCTCAAGATAAATACCTCTACAGTTCAGCCATTGGTAGTGTGATTGGCTGGGAACGTGAATTCCACAACAACAGAAAGCCCCAAGGCCACAGAATTAAGCGCCGAAATGCTCTGGACCCTCTGGCATAATTTGCTGTCTATAAACTCAGAAACTTCAATGATGAAAAAAAAAGGAGTTGGCGCGTTTGAAAGTGGTCTGTTTTACCAAGCCCTGTACACAAACAGAAGACGCCCTATAGGTATGCAGGGCAGCTGTGGCCAGATTAGCATGGCCCTGACCAGATTAAGCCTAGGTAACCAAGTAAGTAAGCATCCTCGGCTCCGGGACTAGGCTATTTTGACTAAGGCATTTGTTTATAAACACGCGACATTGTTTGACCACAACAAAACCCGATCAACATCCACCAGCTCCACCTACTACGGCACACACCACCTAGTCTGATTGACACCACCTGCTACATCAGTACTCCTGCAGAACATTAACAAGCCTATCTGGTTGGCATTAACAGCCTCGGGCTTAGTCAGAGTCCGGTATAGTTAACGTTCCGACTCGTGATTGATACCACGAACCCATCCTCGTACTCTCAATACCACTCTTCAAAGCCATGCACCGAACTCGAACAAAACTCACCTCCGCGCGCGCAGGCTCAAACGACATCACAAGCAACGACCACCCGGGCCTGGACACTGACACAGAGACAGCCATGATCACTTCAAATTCCACCACCACCAAACCCACCACCTCTGCCCCAAAAGCCGACAAAAAAGCCAGCAGCAGCAGCAGCAGTAGCAGCAGCCGCCTCACCCAACCTACCGCCGCAACCGTCGCCCGCCAAAAGGAGCTCGAGGTAGCAAAAGCCGCTCGGGCCGAGAAAGATGCAAAGGTCAAGAAAGCGGCCAAGGCAATCAAAGCCGCCGTAGCAGCTAAAGAAGCCAAAGACGCCAAACTTAAAGCTGAAAAAGACGCAGCAAAGGAAGCGAAGGACGCAGTAAAGGACGCAAAGGACATCAAGGCTAAAGCCGGAAAGGAAGCGAGAATCAAATCTGGGGAGAAGAGAGTCCCTGTGTCGGCTCTGCGCAAGTCTACTACTACGACTCCCACACAGGAAGAAATCGTGGCGAGTTTAAATTTGGAAGCGAAGAAGGGGCGGATACCAAACGTACGGAAGATTAATATAGCGTTTGGACTCAATAGACTCGAGCTGCCCCCGCCCCCACCTTCGCAGCCGAAACATCAGACAACTACAACTCGTGCGACTGCTCCTCTTACCAAAACCTTGACCTCACTCACTAAATCCAAGCCATCCTCCCCTTCCTTCTCCACTATAGACCAAAAGGAATTCGATCTCTCCATCGCCACGCTGGCATCTCAATGCACCTCCATCCTCGAAGGCCTCGACGAGCAAGTCCAGATCAACCAAGCCCTCGTCTCGGGCGTGGAAAAGCTCCGCCAGGAAAACAGTGAATTCCGGAAGGAGAATGCGGAAATCAAGAGGAGACTAGAGAGGATTGAAGGGATTGTGATTAATATCCTCCGGGGGGATGATACGCCGATGGAGGTGGCAATTTATCATGAGGAAGGGGTGGTTGAAGAGACTGTTGTGGAGAGGATAGAGGAGGTGGAGAAGGTGAAGACGATTGAGGACACGAAGGGGAAGGATAACGAGAGGCGGAGGAGCGGGAGGAAGAGGAAGAGCAGTGCTATGGTGGAGAAGGCGGAGGAGGAATTGGGGAAGACGCCGAGGAAGACGAGGAGGGTGACGTTTGGGAAAGGAAGAGAAGGGAAGATGAGGAAAAGTGAGGTGCCCTGTTAGAAAGAGGTGATTACAGATAGTGTTCTAGGGAGTTTTGGATTGGGTGGGCAAAGTGGTGAAGTCATCAAGACTGGGGGTTGAGACTACAGAGACGTGGTCAGTTATAGCTGAACAGACAAAAGAGACCCGCGCTTCATATTCAGGGTCGAGAAAAGATGAGTTTCAGGTATTGCTTTCTTGAATAGGTCTAGGGAAACTTAATTAGATGGCCAAACTTTTTTCAGATATGGCATGGCAGAATTTGGACAGTTTTTCTCGCCCTAGATAATTTAGCCGTTACCCCTGGATATCAAGATATAGAGTATGAGGACAGGATATAGCTGAAGCGACGGGATTAGAAATATCAAGCTTGAGGCCCCGGGAATATTACGATTCAGTATGTCATTCATCTGCAGACAGGAATACCGTCGAGGGCAGTTCCAGGTTACTGCAGGTTCTCCTGCCCATATGTATTGATTCAGTATCGGTAGGCGGTATTCAAGGTCTAAAGTCTGCGGTTGATTCCAAATACCTGCAAACAGCCCCTAACTTCCGAAAAAGGCATAGAACTCTGCAAGTATATAATCGTATTTTTGCTACTTCTATCACCTCTAGTATTTGGGTGTATCACCCTTAATGCCCCATGCCAATAAAAGTGAAAATACAGTGGATAAAACCAGCTTCAACTATATAAGGGGTGACCTTACATAAAGACTTTTTTTCAGAATGAAGTTCTATAAAGAATTTTCGTCGTATTTGTAGTCTGACTACGTATATTACAAATTAATAATCAATTAAGTAGTAATTCACCTAGTCGAATCATTCAGGTTGTATATTGGCTACGGCCGAAAAAAACAATCGTTACAGTCACTAGAGTCCTCCCTAGTGGTTGGCACAAGCCCCCGCTAAACCAAGACTAGAAAATTCCTCTCGGCATGGGCCTTGGCAGGAAGTGTATGCAGGGATGATGTGAGTGAATTGATGGTTACGGCCAAGAATTTAACAACGCCTTACCAGAAGGAGATAATCCTTCACGCGACAGTGCAATAGCGCAATTAGTTCTTGCGCAAGATCTAAAGCGATGGTGCAAAGGCCGAAATCACTATGGGACAAATTTAATATGTAGGTGAGGACAATATAGTCTCATGTATGTGAGGTTTCATCGGGTTTCGATGGGTATCGAGGTGTTGAGGATGGTTAAAGAGGGCTCTTAAAAGTTGTACTCTCTTCTAGTACATACTAAGGATGGCAGTTGATACTTAAGTACTCTGCAACAGAGTGGTGTGCGATGTTGGTGTTCGGAGAAAATTGTGTTACCACTTGGGTATGAAATGATATGGATATCTCTTAAGGTTAACTATAGAACTTTTGCAGTGAAAGTGTAATAAGTGGGTATATCACTTTCACCTTTTTAGTTACAACCTGATTTGGGATCAATTGCACCTTGCAGGGTGTAGCTCAGTATAGATGGCACTGCAGTGTAAATCTAACACCCCCGCTGATGATGGGGATACTATAGTTTATGTAATACTCTACTAAAGGAGTTAGTACTGCACCCGTTCTGAGCTGGATACTGGTTCCTGGATACTGAACTACACTGGATGGTGGATTGAACTGGAGCTTACTATGGACTAGAGCAAGACCTGCAGAGCTAGGGCATCTATAAGGATATAAATAGAGGTTGTATAACTCACCCCATTTCGGTAGGTGCAACGTAATTGGCCCAATTATCAGGTGTAATTTAGTCCTTGAGCAGGAGTAATCACCCTTCTTAAAGATGTAATTCACTCTATGTATCCACGTTTGAATCACGCTTTGCCAAAATGTGTTAAAGGCAGCAATTTTACACCTTTCTTCAAATATCATTCACATTTTGTACTGTGCATGTAAACCGCTACACTCCGGAGGGTAAAAGCACACCCTGTACTCTCCGACTGGGAGTGTATGGCTTCTTGCCCAATTCAGAGGGCTATATGTAGGTGCCACTCATATGGGAGTTGCAGGAGTATACCCGCCGA